AAAGATTATTCCCGAAACAAATATCTGGAACTTTGTGTTCTTAGCTCGTTTATTTATCTGTGCTTTGTTTTTTAGTTGCGTTGTTGCATGTGTTTAACTTGACTATGGGACTTTACTGAACTCCAAATGTCCTCCATTAGGCCTTTATAGATACGCCATGTTTAATGCCTTATAGTGATTTCAATTGTACTAACACGCGATAATTGCATTTTGTAGATAAGATAATGAGTGTCTCCGTATTCGAAGTTCATGAACTATGGTAAAATTCCTTCCAATCATTAAGACACTGGTCATGATTATTCAGCATTTTTACAGTGAACCATAGCTTAAACTGTGCTTTGTACAGGGGAACTGAACCTTAATTATAATTAATTATGTGTTAATAAAAAAGAAAGTTTCGAAAATCGCGTTTGTAAAAAGGGTTACACAATTTCAAGGTCTAAACTAATCCGTAGCGCGGGTTATTATTTCAAATAATAAATGCTTGATAAGTTGTCTATTAGCTAAAGGCCTTCGCGGGGAGGATTCGCACAGTTTGTGATAGTATAAATATACTTGCGAAGTGTATCTCCTGACCGGATATATCGCTCCACCATTCTTATCAGCTATAGGAATATACAATGTATATTCTGTCAGGGCGGTATCATCATTCATCACTTCGCTTTACGTAAGACCATTATAATCCTCGTTACGATACAGTGGTATGCCTGGTATTTGCATCAGCCAATCAGAGTGCGAGTTGGTCCGCAATGAACCACGGGATATGCGATACATACACGGCCATGGCGGCAATGATGTGATATGAGTTGAGAACGCTCTTTCGCTCTTGAAATGTGAAACATATTATCAGCGGGGAGTGTCCCATGTTCGGCGGGAGCAAACTATATGGAGGTACGTACAAGGTGGCCTGGCGGATGGAGAAATACGTTCAATATTTTTTTGTCCGGAGGACATAATATATGTATTCAGTAGATAGCAAATGTATTCAGGGAAACAATACTGCTTTTATACGTGCTAATTTTATATATAACCAATCAAATGGTAAATGTTCGTCAAAACACTGATGATCACAAATTATGATTGTAAAATAAATTGGCATGCAAAAACAAAGTACAATCTAATATTTCAGTTTATTATAATGGCATTTCCAGAATATAACCATTTTGTAGTTAACGGTATACGCGGGGAAAGAGAGTTTGAATGAATTCCAGAACATACAAGAGAAACTTATGTAGTAAGATGTCTACTTCCTTAAGTCCATCATCACATATTATGTCTTAGAAAGTGTAATTTTATAAACAATATGAAATACCTGTATAAGCAAAAGGGATATTTTACCATTAAAATGCATCTACATTGAATATTGAAGTGGCAATATTTCTTGAGTATGGGATAGAGAGGGGAATACGAAATATTGTTCTTGAAATATCTTCTTGAAATAACAAAATGTATTTGCAAACAGAAGGGGTATGTTATTATCATTTTATGATAATGAATACAATTCATATTTATCCTAATTTCCTCAATTAACAGATTCCGTTTCAAAATAGTTAAAAGGCATGAATGTGATAAAACACATCAAATTATTATGGAGACAAAACTATCAATTATCAATATCCAAGAAACTTTCCCTGTTGTTTGATGAAAAAGAAGACAACTAAACTGTAATGATTTGAGTTTAACCCCAAAAAACAGATAACGAAGATCTTAATTAGAAAATATAAGATGAAATAGATTTACATTTACCACAACGAAAGCATATCGGAATCAATTATTTTCCCCACTTTTTTTCTTGAAAGTTTTACCGGAATCATTTATTATTTTATATGAAATCATACATATTGTAGGCTTACTATCCTAAAAAATTGACGTGGGCAGAACGTTACCTAACAAAAGTAAACTTAATATCACTTAATTACGAACAACTTAAGTGTCGTAAAATGAAAATATGTTACTTTTTTAAATCTATATCAACTGAATGAAAAAGAAAATGAAGATTTGAGTCAAGATAAAGTAGGGTGGGTAAAATAGTACCCCCTTATAATGGTCATATTAATAAAATATAGAACTTTGTTATTTCAATCTACTTCTCTGACAGAAATGAACATTTTGAGTGGAGATAAATTTGGAAAGGTTAAACAATTCCCACATATATCTTGCCACATACGGAAAATATGTGAGTTGTTTTATGTCAACCTATCTCAATGAATAAAAATAAATGAATATTTTGGTCTAGATAAAGTAGGAAGGTTGTTGCTGTTGGTTCGTGTTTTATGGCAATCAGTCAATTTTGACTATTATCACCAACAATTTTTTTAATGTTTTAAAGCATATATAATAATACAACTAACGTCTTTCATGTTTTAGGGTTAAACAGTACCTTTTTATGGTTTGTCACATAAGAAAAATTCTTTAATTGCAATCTGTCTCAATGAACAACAAATGAAGATTAGGTTTCGATAAAGTAGAAAGGGTTAAATAATGACGTCTTATCGTTATCATATAATCAAAATATGATACTTTTTGTAATTCAATCTATGAATAATTAAAAAATTAAGATTTAAGTGGAAATAAATTAGGAAGGAGGGTAAAACAATGCCCTCTTATAATCAGATGCAGCTGGAAGCACTTGGCCCGGGCAAAGCAGCAGGCCTTTCAGAAATTCCAGTCAAAATGTCAACCCGGAGCAAAAGGTCATTACGAGGGAAGAAATATTTCACCTCCTACATCTCTCTGTACGTGCCATATACAGGATTCATATCGTCTGCTATGAGTATAAGGCCATGTTGCGATTTAAAACTGTTCAAAATACTATTTTTGTGAGGGATGTATCTGAGAAGTTAGATGATAGTTATGTTCTTAGAATTGTATCCGAAAATTTGAAGCTGTATTTGTAAAAAATATTTCTAAATTAGAATGTTGTGAGTTAAACTGTTCCCAAACAGTGTTTTATGTTAGAGTTCTATCCGAAATGTATCAAAACTGTGTTGTGATTTCAGGCTGATATTGGAATTAGAATGACATCGTATAAAGATTTGAAATAGTACTGTTTCTGCCTCGCAATTCCCTACAATGACGTAAAGTTCTATTTCTAATTTATAAGGAAAATTGGTAGACTTCACTACTTTTATTGTTATTTAAAGAGTTTTTCTGGTATAAAGGAAATGGAAATAACAGCTAAAAGTGCACGCACTAAGTTGGTATGTCAACTTTACATTATTTTGTAGAGTGCACGAAGGCAAAGAGAAAAAAGATAGATTGTTGATTAATCCTATTGAAACAGATCAAATCCTGCGTTGTCTATTATTAACTGGAAATCTATTAAACATTGCAAAAAATTATTTTTGCATTTAACATAGTGGTGCTTTCATTGTGATACATTTTACACGTGACTGTCAAATTGCATTCAGACCATTTAAAGAAATAATAAGTTTTTAATTCAATTAAATATAAAATGAAATGAAAAGGACAACACCCTTTCATTTGCCTGTATAAGGCTGGGGATTGATTAATAACTTACAAAACAATGTTGCACATAATATGAGTGCATTAGACCACACGCTATGTCAGTCAAAAGTAAAAATAGTTGTGGAATGCACACGTCAAAAGGCGATTAAGCGTAACGAGCTATGTTCCACACGGTGCACTTTCCTTTCCAAACATATCGGCTTGCAATCATGATATCCATCTAACCCTCGGGGAATACATCTCAGACTATACTATACTGTGATTTAAACTCCAGGAATCTCCGTAATTATGTTCTCCTTATCCACCGTCTTAACCTGTACTTCAGTAATTGTTGTCATCAATCTTCGAAATCGTGTCTGCTGTCTAAGCATCCTGTCGGAATGGAGATACTTTTTAAAGATCCCAATCTTGAGAATAAATTAGACAATAATATTAAGGGGGAATTTTTCGATTTATATTCCAAAGGCAATTCAGAGTGCTTAATTTACGTGTCGTAAGCTTAATGAAGTAAATTAAACGACAAACTGTCTCCTATGATCATTCTTGTTTGCTTCTTTTCTGTATTCATTAAAAGCCGCGGATGATAATTATGCATGTATGACATTCGCGGTAACAATGAACATTTAAATTGTCTTCTTACTCTGAAGTAGTAGCAATATGTGCAACAATGTTATGGATATAAAAAGTACACAGGTGCGCCTTTTTATATTGCAGGCTTTAGACAGAAAAATGGGAAGATAATAACAATTCAGTTAAAATTAAAATATAACTGAAACAATCCCTATATGTGAGGCCCTAATTATTTTTAAGAAGTATCTATGTAACAAAAAGCAGCCATGATGTCTGTAGTTATCTTCAAAATAGAGAAAAGATAGGCACTCTTTTATAATGCTTGTCTATTATTATTTGACAAGGTTTTATGCCTTTAGATCTATACTTGTTATACCATCTACTGTGGAAACGGGGTCGATGCATATCTTCCTCCATATTACTATGTACTTGTCGTACCAATAAGGATTCTAATTCTGTACCAAATTAAATTTGTACTATCAACAGTGGCGCTGAAGGACCGAGAAAACGCCTGTTATACAGTCACGAACAAAACATTTTGAGTAACTTTGATGTTGTGGTCTCAACGCTTGTCATCATTACTTTAGAATGAGGTTTCGACGTCCCTTCCTATTTCGTCTTGCTGTACAGAACATGAAAAAACACAAAACGGGTAATAAAGTCGCTTGGAGTCGCTTTTTTTTTCTTTTGCAGTTTTGCTTCCAGAAACAATTGTTGAAACTTAACCACTTGAAGTTGAAGGTAGACTTCCCCGGAAATTCTGGCTGTTGTCAACTGTTCCATCCATCCTTTGCTTTTCAGAGAATAACTGTCCATTATTTTCCAGGGTAGCTAATTAACATTTATGATTAATATGATGAAATGGGAAGAAAATGAACTTTAAAAAATGATTTTAATTGGGTTAAAAATGTAGACATGAATTGTGTGATAAATGAATATCAATTGAAAAGGTAAATTCCTACCTTTTTAAGCACTTGTCATGTAACTCCAGAGAAGAGAGATTAGAATGAGCTCTATTTGGAATTGGCCCAGATGATAGAACGTAGAGAACACACGATCAAAAGTATCCGTGCTTCAGCGAGGATAGGTTATAGAAAACCGCCGTATTTCATTGGGAGGGTGGCAGCCAAGTTAGCTCGGAGCTGCGGGCGCGGGCTGACGGGAAGGAACGGGCGACCCGACCAGACGATACGGGGTGAAAATTCCTGCCGCATTCCATCGCCCTGAACGGAGAGATGCTCCGGTCAATGCTACTAGGCTGTGCTACCAAATATGGAAGACGGGGGTCTGCGAAAAAGATGTATCATCGAGAACCCTGTGTATGATTTACATTGCATGTACTGGTACACTCAGCTATGTATCGCCAGGGTAGATTGTGATAATAAGATGGGTGTGTATAGCCATTATGGCGGACTTTTGTATATACATCTACACTAGCTATCGTAGATGTAGAGTTAGTGCACTTTTTATAAGCTGTACTTTCTTACACCACCCCCTGCAGGCATATTTCCCTGAATTTACCCACACACAATCATCTAAAGGTTCCCTTTGATGGCCTTTGGCAGAGTTTCTCTGATAAACAATTCCATTCATCGAAGGGAAAGCCAAATTTTAATGACTGAGGTCTGACCCATACTAGCATCCATTTACACTTTGGATTCATTTGGACTATATTCCTTCTTGCGTTCTCCAAACGAATTTTCTCATGAATGTGTTCATGTTATATGGATATATAATATATATATATATATATATATATATGTATATACAAGCATAAGTGAAGAAGAAATTTTGAAACAACGGGGTAGGAGATACAACATTTACGAATTTTGGGCTATGTCAAAGTAAAGACAAATATATTCAAAACTTGAACATGGAGCGCGACAGGTTCTAAATGTAATATATATTACATACACTATTACATTACATGAAAACAACCCATTAATATTAACCACAAGTAGAAGACTCTAACCGGTAAGATTTCTACGACGGTAAAATGTTTTAACAGAAAAAAAATTACAATTCTTATGTTCGGTCGTTGTGTGTGGGTGGTATTGTTCTTTGATGAAACTATATAAGTCTATTAGATTTATTCATTAATTGATGTATTTATTTATTCATTTATTCATTCTTTCATGTACTCATTCATTTTAGTGTTTGTATCTATCTATTTATATCTATCTATTCACTATCAGGATGATAACACGCTGCTGCAATCCACATTTCCTCTTTCTCGCTGGTGTATTTTTTTTAATTAATTATTCCCAGCTTTCCGCATAATGAAGAAGTTTAATTTTGGCTTCGCCTCATTATTTTTTCATTTCATTTTACATGCATATAGACCCATGTGAGAGAATATACCAAAGACAACAGTGCCGGGCAATTTACACATTAAGCGTAGGATGGGTCCAGCCAGGTGTGGGCGTGAAGGCATCAGTCTGACCAGTGCCATTACAGTGAGGGCGGTGTGTATGGGTCTGGGAAGGGCTGTATCACCACTGCCCCCAATTTTCACCTTGCTACCACATTTCCCTTTCATTGTATATCTTCCGGTATGTCTAGGTCAAGGGGCGTAGCTACATGGGAGCACTCCCCATCCTCCAATGAGTGGCGAAAGAAGGAGAGAAAAAAAGGAAAGAACAAAATGATCAAAGTCATGTAGGTCTATATGTCTTTTCGTAGATTTGAATGAATTGGGGGCGCACATCGTTCGTTTTCTTTATTAGCCTATCTTTACCAACTTCGTAGTCATATAAACACATATTTTAACACCGGGCATGGTGGCTCAGTGGTTAGAGCGCCCGCTTCATGAACGGGAGGTCGTGGGTTCGATCCCTGGCCGAGTCATACCAAAGACTTATAACAATGGGACCTTCTGCCTTCTAGCTAGGCGCTCAGCATATTAGATTGGAGAAGGGTAGTAATAACATGTTATGTTATGCAGGGCCCGCTGGAAGAGCAGTTTCATAACTGAAGTGGCTACCCTGGGTAAATAAAACGTTATTATTATTATACATGCATTTGGTCTTCATTCAAGATGCATGCATTTCTTTGGGAAGGCAAACAGTTTTTTCGCCGAAAAGACGTTCTGTAATTTCAATGCTACATGTATCCCGTAAATATGATGCATATAGACGCATATAAACGCTGTCATTAATGATGACTTCGTATTCTAACACGGTAGAAAAGCATTTTTTCCTACTTGTCAGTTCAGGATGATTCAATATAAATTAAACAACTTTTGCGCTTTAAAGTCTCGAATTCACTGGGAAGCTAAGGGTAGGTGATACAATATCATACCCTTGTATCTTACCCCGGCCCCTCTCCAACCGCCATATCAATACACTACATTAATGTCAAACAAATCCAACTATGTAAGAGCCTAGCTATTGATGGAGTCTAATTCAGTACATATGTCGAATGCGTAGAAACATTCTCCCTAGGACAGCCAGAGGAGTTGCTTATTGAGAAAAAGGTTAGAGGTTAATTAAGCATGGTTGTGTTGCCTCGTCGATCGCCGAGTTCGTACATGAGAGACTATAACATGCCATTTAAGTAACGGCAAAGCCAGGCATCGTATGTGTACAAGTCTGTAACAAGTTGATCATCTTTCAATTACTTTTGTTTTTGTTCGTGTTTCGACAAGCCTACTATAATAAAGCCTCCAGATGTATTCGTTGTCAAGATTGTTCAATCAGAGTTGATAAATAGCAAAATCCTCATAGTTCTAAAGCTACGTTATAATGTAACGTCTATCTTCCACTAATCTGGAATTGAAAAATGAAAACATTAGAAAGGTGAGAAAATTCAGATCACTGGTCAAGATCGAAAGAATCGTGTTTTTCCTTTTGCTTTTACATTCCATGGCAATATTTAAGAGCTTTCAACATCTAAAAATCTGCCTCAGAAGCACTGTCAGTCAAGAAAGTCTCTACGGGACATAGTTCTTTCTACTACGCGGGCCAATTATGACATCACAATAAGGTTTTTAAGTTGGAAGAGAGGTTAAAACTTTGTTTATGACGTCACAAAGGGATGCGCAAAGTAAATCAACGTCTGGAAGCGCAAGCGTGACCTCTTTATGACATCACAAAGCGGGCACAAAAACAAAACATCCGGCTAGCTGGAAGCGCGTATGACCCCTTTCTTCATGACCTACTTAGAAAACCAAAACATTGACCAGACGCGATACGCATTGTGACGTCACATTCAATTGCCAATGACAATGACAATTTATTCTCATGTCACCCACAAAATCAGTTTGAATTCGTCAATTTAACGCTGTACAATGTATAATTCAAATCGAATTAATGTTAATCTATAGAAATAACACTATCGATCATAGTGAGAAAAATTATGATGATAACAATAATAATTATGATAATAATAACAATACTAATAATGATAATAATAATAATGGTAATAAAAATTAAAAAACAAAACGATAATAATAATAACAACGATAATTAATGACAAAATTAATGGAAGCAATTGGAAAACAAAGTTACTGCACCGGCGAATGCGCGTGCGCTGTAAAAGTATGCAATATGCCGATAGCGATTCATTGTGCAGTTAACCAACGAAAACAGATGCAGCAACATAATCTGATGCAGAAATGAGCAGCCACTATGAAAGAGTTATTGTTTATATCATTTACATATATTTTTTAAGTTTTTCAAACTTCATTTTTTCATTCATTACCAAAATTGTCAACATACATTGCATTTCAGCACGACATAACTTTTCATTTTGTAAATGGAACCTACAAATAGAAAAAGGAAAGCTAGTAATTGTTTGCCCTCTTCAAAACACCATAATATATGACATAAAATCAATAATTAAGAATAATCATTGAGTCATAAAGAAGTATGAAAAGACTAAAGTTTTTTTATTTTTTTTTACAAAACACAGCATAATAATCACATTTGCCTTTTTTAGCATATTTATTATGTATCTCAAACTACGTCAACATGAAGAAAAAGAAACTTTTACAAAAGCCCATATTGAGTCTCACCAATGTTCATATTCATCTTAAACAGTTGTCTACAGCAGTGCGGGATCCAGGGGGCCGGGAGGCCCGGTCCCCTCCCCTGAGAAAAAACAGGTAAAAACACGTTTATTTAATTTGACTCTTTTTTTTTTGGAGACGGGCCCCCTCCCCTGGTGTTCAAGCTAGGGGGGGGGGGGGGTGCGAATTTCAATTTTTCGAGGACAAAAAACAAAAACAATTAGTGCTCACTATTAATATTTTCTCACGAATTGGGCCCCCTCTTTGGCCCCTCCCCTGCCGCCGGCTGAATCCGCCCCTTGTCTACAGAATATAATGGGTACACTTGTTTCATTATTCGAATATATATGGAAAGGGCGTAAGTTTACCTTAATTTCTCTGTCAGAGATGGCGCTATACATCTGGCGACAGCAGTAAAGTTCTGTACTCAAGTGAGTCCCTTGTCAGTCGATGTGAGATTTATTATGCTGATGACATATACTGCATAGGACCTGTATTTCAGCTTCTCCCTACATATGACACAGCAAGAGGCCGACAGAGCTAGGCTTAGCTTAAGGCTTTAGGAATTGTGATAAAGTGCCAAATAAGAATTTGTGCCTGCAGATAATGCTCTCCAGCTGGGGTCCTCTGTTATACTTGAATCACAATATTGAAAAGCAATTATGAGGCAGTAAGACCGCATGCATCTGATCTCTGTCCAGCCTATACAGGTTTACCTCCATTCCTTTCTGTGTGTTAAAGGGAGAAAGAGTTAAAGCATTACAGCGGTCATCGAAAAAGACAGGTAAAACAATGTAATGAAATACGTATTAGTCTATACGGTAATATCATTATACTTTATAGTTTATTCTTAAACTGGTTACCGATAATTATAGTCTAAAAGACAAAATACAAACTGATATACCATTTGTTATTGTTTAGAGGCTGGATGAGATAGAGAGAGAGAGAGAGAGAGAGAGAGAGGGGGGGCGGGTCCAGGGAATAACGAGAGAGGGGTTAAATGGAGAGGGGTCAGAGAAAATGAGGGCAGAGCAAAAGGGAGAGATAGGCCGCGTAAGCGAGGGAATGTGAGAAATAGAAAGAGAGGGATAGGCA